ATTAGGAAAGTTCCAACTGTGTATGTCCTTGTTTTCATCTTTGCATAAGAATATGAAATATGGCCACCATTGCATAAACACTTCACAATAATCACAATTTGATGGATGCAAAACAATTCTTATCTAATCTTTCCACACATTTGAAGATTTATTTGCTTCAACTCCATGAATGGAAATGCACCTGATTCATATTTCATGTTCTGCAATTTTTCAAGGGGTTTTTATAAAACTTGCTTGACAGTTGGATGGAAACAAGCATCTACAGCACTACTGCTGATTACGGCCAAAAGTCATAATAACAGAGGGCCAGCACAAAACTTTCCATGAAAATCAAAGAAGCTACTCCCTATTCTTCTGACATACAGTATGTGAGTATGCACAAGCATTTTATATGTGTGTAAATGTTCTGTGAGGTAATTGGAAAAGTTTGGTGCCCACACATTTTTTTTTCAGAGTGAGGTGTTGGAAGCTGAGGGCAAGGAGGGTACCCACCTCCCTCTTGAAAAAAAATGAAGGGGTGAGACAAATTAATAGAGGAACAAGAGAACATAAGTGTCAGTGTTCATTGAAGGTAGCCAAATATGTACGTGTGCTTGTTTTAACCCCTTAATTACATTTTCACGCTCTCTTTTCTTTCTTGGAAAACATCACAAAATCTACCATATATTCTGTATCAGCTTGTTCCATCACATTATTAAAGCTACAGTATATGGTGTTTATAATTAGTGAAATATCAAAACTCAGTACTCTAGATGCCTATTGACTGATTTTTATTTTTTTTTCAAACATATCCTCAAATTCATACTTGGCATCTTCATGATCTTTGGCCCATCAACAGGTCTGAGAGGTTTAAGATGTTTTAAAAGCCATTCCTTCATGTTTTGACCTCATGGTATATACCACTGTGGTCTTATTTTCATGTGAAAGAGCATTAATTCATCTAAAGCTGATGTTCCATTTCTGATCCCATACGGCTGAGAGGGATTCTGGGAAAAACAGAGGGGGGAAAAAGCTGACAATAACTCTGGAATTGCCAGCTATTATTTTGGCTCATTGGCTCAAATGCAGCCAAGCTGCTGCCCTGCAGCCGAGCCAAAACAACCTCGTCCACCTGCCGAGAGAGAGAGAGAGAGAGAGAGAGATGGAGACAGAAATGGTGTGTGTGTGTTAGAGAGCGAGCCCCCATCCAGCTTTTGGATTCACAGTGGTTCAGAAGTCACTGGAGAGAGAAGGAGAAGAGAGAAAAAAAGAGAGAGATGGGAAGAGACAACCTCAGTCCAGCTTGTGCCGACCAAACGCGCAAACAGTACATCTCTCTTTCTCTCTCCCCCCCCCCCCCCCCCCCCAAGGTTAGAGTGGCCTGAGTCACCACAAGCAGCCAGCTCTATTTTTCCTATTATCTCATATTTGTGAAGACTGGAGACCTTTGAAGAAAAGGGAGAGTGGAATGATGAGGAGGAGGTGTAGCAGGAGGAGGTGGAGGGGTGTATGTGGAAAGAGAGAGGGAGAGAGAACCTGGGCCCTTGGGTGCACAACAAAGGGCCTCTGTGCCAGCGCCAGTCCCAGTCAGGCTCAGAGGAAGGTGGAGGATGAAGGAGGAGAGTGAAGATGAGAAGGAGAAGGAGGGGGACACCCACAGGAAAGGGCCCTGGCTTGGGACCCATGGCTGGCCCTCATATCCTGAAAAACAGGCTCCACATTGACTTGGACCTTGGGAGCCAAGGAGAGGTTTGCGGTACTAAGCACCCCCCACTGCCACCACCACCATCACCACCCCCTGCACCAAACACACACACATAGACTCTCAAACTGAGCAGGGGTCAGCATTGAATAAGCAATTATACAAGCGCTGGTGGAGTTTGTCTAAGACTGCCACCCTGAACACTGAAGTATTGAAATAGTGAAGGGAGGAGAAATAAAAAAAAAAACAGAACTGCCTTGTGAAAAGTTTAACCATGTTATCTTAACTGGTTAACTGGAACTAAAGTCAGAGTCTGAGAAGCATAAGAGAGCAGGATTAGCATTGTTTTGATTTATAGTGTTAATCAGAATAACTAATAATTTGTTAAATGATAAACAATATCTTTTAATGTTTCCAGATATTATCTCAATTAGCAAACAAGTACAATCTGGTTATTCTGATTCTTATAAATGTCCTAATGAAAAAGTTACTTACAGTTAATTTGAGTTATACACTGTAAAAAAAAAAAATAATTATGCTGTATAAATTTCCTGCATTAACATTTCACCTAACACAATAGAATTCACTGTTCTGACAAGTTGTTTTATTTAGAAGCAGTCAAAGGAGGAAAGTAGCATCACTATTTAAATAAAATGAGATAACTTAAGTCAGTCAGTAGTAACAGACTCAATCATCTACATCATGGAGATGTTCAAAGAAACTTCAGAAAAGCAGAATTTGGAATACAGCTCTTCACTTATTTACACCCTCTTGATGCTGCAGCATTTGCTCTGCAGTCTGGCTATTCCCCTTGCACTGACAGAGCCAACATACTCCATTACGAAAT